ATTTGGTTCGATGTCTATAATAGTTTCTGCCATATATTTATGTTCATTGTTTGTGGTTTCTTTAATTTGCACAGCTTTATAATCATCCTTTTCAATTTTTTTCGAATCATCTAAAGCTAAAGGAAGCGGAGTGGTTGTCCATTTTATTTTTTCAAGTTGCTTGTTTACTTCGTCAATATTTGGACGATTTGTTGGTACATCATCCCAGCATGCCTGATAAAGGATAACGTATTGCTCTGGAGTTCCTAAAATTCTTTTTTCTTTTTCTGATGAAGTACATAAAGCATACCCGCATGGGTTTTTAGTAGGAGCACGACCGCTGGAAATAACCCAAAATAATACTCCAATGCTAAATATATCTGATTTTTCATTTCTTCTAAAATTTTCCATATCTCTTAGAAATGCTGGATCCATGTAACTTATCACGCCAAAATCAGTCCTCGAGTGAGATTGATCATTTGAAAGTTTTGAATAGCCTAAATCTGAAATTTTGATTTTTCCATTATGAACGAGAATATTATTATGATTCTTTTATATTAACAAACGGTTCAAATTAGTATTTATGAAACCAAATTTAATATTCTAATAAAAATATATAAGCTTTCTTACCAAATCCCGATGAATAATGCCTGCGTTATGTATACACTTTACTCCACTAGCGAGCTGTTTTGCCAAATTTAATTTATCATTGCCACTCAAGTTTTTATACTTAGTGTCCAAATATTCTTTGAGAGTTCCGTCGTTAGCATATTTCAAAACAAGCATGTATTTCTCGGAACTCGGATCTAAAGAGTATTTTCGTTAATTCATTAATTAGAGACTTTAGGAAGGATAAATAAAAAGTTAATATATTTTACCTTGAGTAATTCCATAAAATCGAATAATATTTTTATTATGAGCAAGTTTAATAAGGACCTTCATCTATAGAATAAAGCATGTTTCATTAGACTTGAATTTAGATATTTCGTTTCATAAATAAATGGTACCTCTTTAATAAATTGTTCATCTGTTTCTTCTTTTATATAAAGGCATTTTAAAGCAACAGTCAAATTTCCATCATCTTTTAGCACGGCTTTGTAGACTTCACCGAATGCGCCCTTTCCAATTGCTTTTTTATCAGAAAATTCATTAAAAACAAAAAATTTTATTTGTTCTCCTGATTTAACGTATTTCAGCCAGTTAATTGCTGTATACGAAGAAGAAGTTGATGACATTTTTTGTTTCGTTGCCGTGAAAAACGTTGGTTATATTTATTTGTGCGTTTAAATATGAATTTAGTCATACATGTATGCAGCGGTGGTGAAAAGCAAAGATGCATGTGCAGTAGGCACCAAAAGTAACGCAAGTAAATACATGTACATTGTATATCCATTTTTGTTATTGTTGACCCTATTGTACCAGATGGCCTTCTTTGACAAGAATAAAATAGTGATTTTTATTCAAATTATGAGTGTCAAGCAAAGCTGCAAGAAAAATGTGACGTAACCTGGTAATAGTATAATGATCTCTTGCCAACTAAAAAAGGGACAGGAAAAATGCAAATTTACCACTGTCTGAGAGACTATGAGCTCTAAATCTGCGCAAAAACTTACCTGAAGATTCTTTAAGGTAATTTGGTCCTTTTTATAATAATCTGTTCATTAATTTGAAGTTTCAAAAAAATAACACTTGATTTACAATGAAAAAAAGACATAAAATAGAATCAAATAGAGAAAATCAATGAATATCGTATCCTTCTGATAGAAATGTCTGTAAGTCATTAGAGAACAATATTCAAAATGCAAAAGCTTCCCAAGGATCATGAAAAAGGTCAAGACTACGCTGAATGAAATTCAATGTGTTGGTTTTTGAGAGATTGTAGGCTCAATGCCTTGAGAAATCAAAACGATATTATAGCCATATGAAGAGAAATAACGTATTAGATAATGATAAAAAAAATATTGTATATAAGATAGAAATAAATAAATTGGAAATTTTATTTTTTAAGAAAATCGGGCGTTGCTTTTTTGGTGCCTACTGTACATGTATGCCGTTTTTTATTGTATGTGGACGCGTGTGCTAAAAAAACGATATGCATTAACGTTCCAAAAACATGAATTAAAAAAAGCTTATCGTTATTAACATGTAGATGGTGTTTTGAGAACCACATACGTAATTCATCTATAAACGCATTTATAAACGCATTTATAAAGTGAATTCGAATACTCATCAAATGAATTTATGAATTTGAATGGATAAAGGTGATAAAAAGAATGTCAAAAATTATCGATGGAATATGTTCAAAGTAATACATGTAGTATCGAAAAGAAAAAATTTGTGCATCGTGACTTTCAACTTGGCATTCCAACAAACAAATATGGAATTAGCTTGGGGAGAAAATATTATATATTATTAATGTTCTAGAAATAATTTATGAAACGAGCTTGTGCTAGTGACCCTGGAAATAGCCTTAGATATTGATGCCGATTTTGGTCTTACCGACTCAATAGACATAAAAAGTCAAGCAATTTACGGAATACTTCCTTATATGAGCCCAGAAATACTGAATGGAAAGTCATACACTAAAGCTGCAGATATTTATAACATTGGGGGTTATGTACGAGATTGTAACGGGTGAATCGCCATTCGATAAGCGAAATAATGATAAAGATCTAATATGCGACATTATAAAGAGTACACCTACAATACCAAATAATGTTCCTGGATGGAGAATATTTATTATTAAAAATGTTGGAATCCTATTCCAGAAAGCAGAGCAACTATTTCGGAACTTAAAAAAAACTAGAAAAAGCATTCCTTCAAAAAACATCGAATCCACCCAAATGCAGTTTACACAAGTCGAATCTTTACTTCAAATCAATATCAATCCCAAGATCTAAATATATCAAATATTTAGGTTCTGCAGGTGTTCGTTTGTATGTTCCAAATGAAGGTAAGATCACATTTTATAATATTTTCTTTAACTCATTAGTTTCATAATTTTCTTTACTGATAAAAACATTTTGATATTATATAACACAAGGAATCTAAGGTAATATTAAGTTAGTTGATTTCGAACCAAAAGTGGTTTCAATTTCTTAGTTGTTTACGCGTATATTCATTATTTTATTCACAAATTATGTTTACATGTACTGTATATCAAATGAATGAAGTAATTCATCCAATAAGAGTGCGCAAATTTTTTCAAACTGATGCATAAATCTATTAATTAAAAATGCAATTTTACATATAATGTTATTATTTCACTGCTCTTATCCTGAGTCTAATCGGACGTAATCCAAATTAGAAAACCTGACCGGATGGTTATGATCACAACCCGAATATCCGACTCATCATTGATATTATAAACTACATGTTTAAAAAATGCATAGATATACTGTACATTATTAAAAAAAAGTATACGAGTAAGTACAAAAGAATTGAAATAACTTTTGTTTTGCCGTGATTAAATCGTAATGTATTGTCGGATTTTGGGGATCGGGATTTGGGAAACTGGCACTTTAGGAATGTCGGGATGTTGGGAAGTCAGGAATTTGGGCGTTCAGGATTTTAGTATTTCGAGAATCTGGTAAGTCGGGATTTTGGAGTAGATTCGTTCCCGCACTATATATTAATATCGATACATTTCTTTTTTAAAAAATGCATTTATTACTGTACGTAAATTTGTCGAGACGTTATATGAGATTCGCGTTATGTCGGTGTGCAAATGGACGTTATTTTAAAACCATGTGTGCTAGTTTAAAGGATTCGATTTTCGAATAATGCCATGATCGTTATTTCGCGTAAATACGGTAAAATTATTTTTTAAAATAAAATTTGTAAAGAACATTTTTAAGACTCTTTCCTAGGAAAATTTTGAGTAATAAGCAATTTTTTGCAAATTTGTTTTGTTTTAATTCGATGACTATAAAAAATTATCATACCGTATTTTCGCGAAATAACGCGCATGAACGCTATTTCACAAAATATGGTATGGCATGGTGTAAGTAGTCTAACTTAACAATTTTAAAATGTTATTACTCAACGTAAAAAAAATTTGATCGATAACTTTGTTCTTTACAAAGTTATCGGTCAAATTTTGCTTCTATGTTGAGTAGTAGCATTTTTTAAAATTGAAACACATTGTTAAGACTACTTACATCATATTTGATTGATCACTAAAAATAGTATTTAGAAATGTCTTTCTTTTTTATTCCATTTGAAAATTTTAATTCCGCAGATCGTGACCACGTGTAGATGATACAGTAAATACAACAATTGTGCATCAAATTAATGTGCTCTGTTCCCATGTAAAAATATTCCTTGCAAATTGTATATTATTTTATAATATTTATTTCTTTTAAAGCGAGATGGTTACAATTAGATTCATTCAATTAAAAATGTAATGAATCTAAAAATATCATTTAATAAATAATTTCTTAATATAATTCAGAAAATCCGAAATCGTGAAGCATCATACAATTAGAAGACGGCGAATTAATATGTAAATGCTTCAAGTTGAATTATATTTTATTATTTTTCAAATGATATCACGTGCGCTTGTTAAAAGATATTTTAAAAACTGATTTATTATAAATCGATAGATTATAATGTTTGATTCACAACATTAATATCGTGTAAATACGTCTGCCCAGTATCGTTATTATCTGGATCCTATGCATCTGGCGTCGATCACCCGAACCAACACCGTGAGATTTTTCAGTTTAAGGAAGTCATATGATTTTCGGTTTGATGAAAAAAAATTTTTTTGATTTTTTACTTGGTAGTTAAATTTTAAAAATGTCTGCTAGGGTCTATATGTCTCTTTTTTTAAATCTATGAATTGTCATACTGCAAATTTCGCAGTAACTCATTTTTGTTAGCTTCAAAATGTGCCACATGATCGACACAATCTGGCAAAACCGAGCAAACATCATGATCCTGGTTATTTAATTAACATGTACAGTACATGCAGTCTATTGATTATCAAAAAAAAAATTATTTATTTCTGAATTCAAAAAATGGAGGTTGACTTGATCTTTCAATTATTACCGGTTGAAATACGCCAAGAAATATTTAAAAATCTCAACAAAGCGTCACTATTCAAATGTCTACTTGTCAATCGGCAATGGTGTCGCGAAGTTGTGTCTATTCTTTGGGAAAAACCATTAGCAATAGAAAAACAAGAATTTAGATATCAAAATTGTTTTAATCGAAGAAATATATTATCCGCCGATACACTGGTAGAAAATGCACGATTGACGAAAATTATAAATGTGTACGTCGGCCTATTCACTAAAGAAACATGGAAATCTCTAAATAAAAATGAAATCAGCCGACCACGTACCATACGAGCCCCAACATTTAATTATGCTTCTTTCTTAAGACACTATGAGCCAAATGCAATTCCAATAGCAGCAGGTGCATGGTTAAAACAAAAAATTGATCCTCCGACGAATAAACAACAGCAAAAACGTAACGCATTGTCTAACGCAGTGTGTCAACTATTTCTCACGGAAGCGAAGTTTATACAGTCATTCTATTATAATTGGAATGAAGATGTTGAAATTTGTAGTCCGGTTCCTCGCGAATGTCAATCTCATTTGCCCTTTAACAGACTCAAGGAATTGAAAATATCTGGAATAACAAGTGCAAAAGCGCTTCAAAATTTCTTTGAGAATCTGACCGGCGTTTCTCATGCAATTCGTAGAATTTCCATTAATTCAACCGATAATTTCGCATATATTGACATTAATGACAATCAATTAAAGAGCACAATGTTGACTCAATATGAACTCGAATGGCTAGAATTGAATAGTTCGTCTTACAATATTGTCAAATCTATCTGTAGTGGCCTCCAATATTCATCTCGCACATTTAGAGCCATCAAATTTTACAAGATTAGCTTTGCTCCATTCCGATCTAAGTCGATAATTAAAGGTTTACGTTCTTGTGTGAATCTTCTCTGCCTGGATTTTCATGACTGCCTTGGAATCGAGCAAAATGCGTGGATAGAAACAGCAAAATTTTTTACGAAATTGGAATTTTTAGCTATTGTAGGAGCATCCGGATCATATGAACGCATACCACTAGCATTCATCAAGCAAATAGTCGAAACAAGTGGAGATAATCTCCAGTATCTTTTAATCAAAGAAAATCGAAACTTTTGTTATATTATCGACGGAACTATTGCTGAGGAATTATTAACATTTATACATATGCACTCTCAGAATTTACGAGCTCTAAGTTTGAGCGGATTAAACTTGAAACAACTTCCCTCCTTGCAAGAACCTTGCCCGAAACTCGAGCATATTGATCTCGATATCTTAAAGATAAACGAAGATTTGACTAGCTTAGCGCAATTTCCACCACAAATCAGTTCTCTTGGAATTTGTGGTAGTGCGTTCTATTTTTACGGATTCAATACCCACTTTCTGAAGTCTATTCGTGGTCACATAAAATATATTTCTATCGATTGCGAGGGTATTGATGCATCTGGAATCGAACACTATGGGTTCAAGTTTAATAAAAAATCATTTTATGATAGTGAGTACTCATGTTACATTTATTTGCACTTTTATTAAAAGTTTTCTATTGTTAACGATTTTTTGCTTAACTTTACAGGAATACGTCCAAGTTATTTTCCGCAATTTTAGATCTTGAAATATTTTCCTCATAAAAAATCACTATTTTTACTGTGGGTTTTAAATAGCTTTATTTATACAAATAATATAGCGCGTCATAAAATGCACTCTAGAAAATTTAAACCTCAATTTTTTCCTAAAAGGTGACTATCGTTGGTGGCTTGAGGAACGCTACATGATGCAAAAAACATTATACATGTACTAAGGCTTTATTAACCAATCCGATTCAAAGCATGTTCATGTGTTAGCATGTTCTGATGCGTAATAAATAAATTAACCTTTTCGACAAAGAGATTCTATCAAAACATCATGAGGGATTTTCGACAAATGGAAACTCAAAAAGATGAAAAAAGCATTTGAATGGTATTTGAAAAGTGGAAATGCCAGAGAAAAAACGTTATTTTTATGAAAATGGCAAGGGAACACAAAAGAGGAGAAAAAAGCATTAGCATGGTATTTGAAATCAGCTAAAAATGGAAATGTTGGAGGACAATGTTGGTATTATCGAAATGGCATAGGAACTTAAAATACTTTTAATACGTATTTTTGCACAAAGTAATTTAAAAGAAAATTTTAATTTTCAATATATTTTATTAATAAATTTAGCCACTGAGTTATTTACTTTTTGTTGCCATTGTATAATAGTATTTAATTACATTTAAAAATTAAAATATATTTCAAAAATAAAATGTTATTTTTATTAATAATTATTATATAAGTTTATTATATAAATTCAAAAAAATATTTATATGCTTACCTCGAACATATTTTTTATCACGATCACTAATAAACAAAATATCATTACCATTGTCTTGATTAGAGATGGGCAAATGCGCGCATAGTACATCACTATGCGTACTATGCGCATAGTATATACACGCATAATGATCTACATGTATGGTGTGAACGGCCTAAAGCCATCAAGTATTTTAAACTGCAAAGACTCTACATATAAATATGTAATCACAAAAATAAATGCATTGCTAGATAACCTTGGATAAGATCTATAAAACAATGCATTTTTTTTATAAAATATATTAGTAATTTATTGAGTAGTTAGAATTTTTCTTCAATCACTTCTAATAGAATCTAATATAAAATTAGAGAAATTTTCAGCGCTGGAGATTTTTTTCTGATTGGACAGAGCTCACATATTATCACGTGAATAAGATGATTGATTTTTATTATAATGAACAAGAAGCATGCTTGATGATATCATTGATTTATTTAAAAATCATTGATTTATTTAAAAATCATTAACCATTTTTTATTTAAAGAGACATTAAACTTCTCAAACTCTTCTTTGCTAAACCAATCAAATAGCCAAACTAGCTTGATTATTTCATATGGCCAAACTCTTCCAAAACACTATCAGGAACTCTATGATGTGATCTATACTTTTTCATGGCAAAGATAGCAGCTTTACCTGAAAGATCTTGTTCATAAGTGCTCATATATTGAGCAGATCAATGTGCATAACAATGAATCTTGACCAGGATAACTGATTCTAATATCCATGAAATAATTTCTTGAGACTCTTGAAAGAGTAATCACAATGCAGATGTGAATACTGCTTTGCCTTCCCTCAAAATGATTCAATAAAATTGAGCTTGTAATAAAACTTTGAGTAAAAAATATATATATAGCCAGCTACTTCAATAACCTCCTGCAGATGGTTCTATTGAGATGCAAAATCAGACTGTTGATCAAGAATACCAGTTGCATAACATTATGATTTCATTAGATCAAAAGCATATAATTTATAAGCATCATATTTCTTCATCAAATCTTCCATCCACAAGCCATATTCTTTGAGAATTTATTAGATACTCTTTGATTTGATTCTATCAGCAGCATCAATAAATATCAGAACATGACAAGAATCATTAGGCATCTTGCCATCATGAAGAAGTAGTTATTTGTCATCATCCTTCAAAATTTATCTGTGAAATGACCAGGACATCATCAGCATATACACTGTGATTATAACTATTATCAAACATGAAGAATGCAACTTTACCAGATGTATTTTCTTAAAAATCAGAATAGCTCTGTCAACTACTTGTTTTATAAGATCTTGATTTGTTTATTAGCCATCTCAATTAGAATCTAGATGTATAATAACACAGGTCTCAGTATGCAAAAGCTGATTATTATTAGGAAGCAAGTCATTTACAGCTTGGTTCTCTGTTGAAAGACAAAGATATCTAATTGATTCACAAATAAAATCACTCACATAGATACTAAGGTCTTGTAATTTGTGTTGAAACTAGTTTTCTTTTGCAGAATTCCAGGTCTTGATGATATCATCATTGGCATAAAAAATCAATTTGTTATGAATAACCAGAATGAGCTCAAGAATATTGGGTGGAAGTATTGGTGAGTTAATTTGATTTATATTCTCTTTCTTTTATACTGTAATCTGAGACTGTAAATTCACTATTTGTTCTAAGAATTTATTTTGATAAGCTACTATATCATCATGCTCATGGCCATTAAAGTAAATATTTTTTGAATGATTCTTATAATTCCAGCCAAGTTGATATAGTCACTCCTGAGCTATTATTTTACCAATCTTTCTTTTTGTCTTGATCCCAAGATCAGATAGAGCCTCATCCTAACAAACTTGATGAATTCATAAATGATTGCTATGAACTTATTTACATGCAAATATTTGATGATACATATCTTAAAAACTTTATCAGACAGAAATAATATAGTTTTTGAGTGACAGCCATGATGTAATATAAGAATTTCATCTTTACTTGACCATTAATTAGTCTATAAACAAATAACCTACCCATATCATGAATCCTGATTAACACTATGAGCAAGAAGATTACTAACTAATAGTTTAGAGAATCCTTGATCTTGGATGAGGTGAAGAAATTAGCTCACTATATCAAGCTGCATATCAAACTTTTTCTTTAGCAGAACATCAAGAGATATCAAAATAAACGTATTCTTATCATCACTAGAATTAATTGTCTTCTCAAACAGAAGCTCATCATTACTAGAATTAACTGTCTTCTCAAACAGAAGCTCGTCATCACTGAGGTTAGCTATCTTGATAGGAAACTAGTTGATAATTTTGTTGGAATCAAAAGCTGTCTTTCTTAAGATCATTCTTTTATTATGCAATATTGATTTAGCAAAACCTTTGTAAACTGGCTTTCATTTCTTTATTATTTATATGTCTGATTATTTTGCATTCTTGATGAGATCCTCTAGCACACTTTATTTTAATTCTCCTAACTCTTCTATGAATTAGCCATTATCTAAAGGCTTATTTTTACTTTCTATTCAAATAGTATCATTACTTGATTTATCAGCATCCAATACTTTCTTTTTCCATTTTGACTTGATATTATTCTAGTACTTTTTGATAGCCGTTAAGCAGTGTCTAGCATATTTATTTTGTTTAGATATAAAAAAAAGAAAATGCATCTTAAATAGCTTAAGAGGGATTAATAATATAGCAAAAAAGGCTTATATCATAGAAAAGAAAGATAATAACATAGAGAAGAGAGATTATTTATTATTTTATAATTATGTAGTGAAGAAAACATTATTTCTTAAACAAGCCTTTTTATATAACAAAAGAGAAAAATAACTTATCTTACAAGTCTTTAATATGAATTTCCTAAATAATTTTTTAAGAGCTCAAAATTACTTCTGATATATTTTCTGATGTGATATATCTATCATGTAATTATATTATAATACATATATTCCAAATTTCAGCAGTGGTGTAGTACTTGATATCTTTAGGCCATTCATACCATACATATATAGTAATTAAAATATGTGATGTGAATTCATAAAACTAATAATAATTTTATTTTCTATAACTATTATATATATTTATCAATAATTATCACTATTACTTGATATTTCTAATATATCATCACTATTATATAATATATTAAATTATTTATTATCATTACCATCCTGATATTCACTTTCATTATTATCCTGATATTTGTTTTCATCACTTTCATTACCAGTATAATATTGATTGATTCTTATTTTATTATTAATACTTTTTTTGATAATTTTTTTTGATTATCTGAAGGAGTTTGTAATTTATAATTACTATAAAAACATGCTTACTACTTAATCAATTTCTTTTTTTGTTATGAAATATTTGCAAAAGCTGACCAGTTATATTCAGAAGCTATAGATGATATTGAAACTATTAAGATATATTGTGCTAACTGTGTTAATTCAGGCATTACTTATGCAAAATTCATAATCTACTAAGTAATTAGATCAATATTATCAATACATTTTCATGTTAATATATTACTGAAAAGATCTGATTTTGCTTTGTATTGTATAAGTTAACTTCTAGACAAATTGGCATTGAGTGAACTTGTATTAGTAATTTCTGAATTTTTAAAACTCATATCAAAAAATGATTATTTAATTTCAATTGAAATATTTGAATATACATACAGATATAACTTACATTAAATTACTAAATTATTGCATTAATATTTAGAATTTTTATATTATTTATATTCTGTATATTGTGGTTGAAATCCAGCAATATGATCAATTTGATTAAATGTTTCCATATAGAACTTTAATAATAAAGATGCAGATATTTATGATTATTATTTATATATATATTTTGTATTAGTATAAATACATTTGTTTATCACAAATGTCTTAATTAGTAATAATTTATAAACTTAACCATATGTATAATTATGTATAGATATTTACAATATTGATTAGTAACTATACGTATTATATATATATATGTGTATATATATATATATATACATAATTTATATAGACATATTTCTAGTCTTAATACAATAATAAAATTTTTTATTTTTATTCTTTTAACAAAATTTATATATTTATTTATCTTATATATAATCTTTAAACTTTAGTTTTTAGTAATATATTTTTGTAAATAATATGCAAAGATATAATTTTGAATTTTAATTTAAATTAAAGCTTAATATATCATTATTTTTTCATGAAAATACAGTAAAATT